AATGAGGTACAACCAGTCAAACAGTAAAAAATCTTGCAAACACAGCTAACATGAATTCCGGTAGAGACAAAAAATGAGGTAGTTATAAGTACATATTTGGAAAGTCTCCTTTCTCCATTGTCCTGAAGATTTTTGATCCACTGGCTGTAGAGGGGAAAAAAAAACCCCACCAAAACTCCAGCTGTCGTGGCTGTAAAAAAATCTTCCCAAATACAAAGGAAGTGCTGACCAATGCAATGACTTGAGCCTGCACAACCCCTAAAATGCAGGAGGGACACCTCTCCTTCCTCTTCCAGTAACAATACAGTCTGCTGCACAAAACGTTTTGCCACTCAATAAATTAAGTGGACCTATGATTCTGGATCAACATTGTAGAACAGCAGAGGAGCAGCAATACCAGAATCTGGTCCGCCACTTCTCTGACAGGGAATCATTTTTGTTAGATTGTGGTACAAGGTCAAAGGAATAAGGACAATCCTAGCACTCTGCAGTGGCCCTTGTTCTCCGCCTGGCAGAGGATCTCTCAGCCCAGAGCACAGGTACCACAGGGTGCTGCAGCAGTGATGGAAGAGCAATGCTGCCATCTGCGGACAATCAGAATTACAGCCTTCAACCAGGCAAGCACTGGACAGAAAGCTGTTCAACGTTGTATAACTTTCAAAACTCTAAACACTTTCTATTCGAGGCCCAGTTTCTTTAAAGTGAGTTTAAGATGACTAGTAATAGACTCTGCCTGCTACCAGGACAAAACACTGGAGTGTGTTATAAGAGCAAGTAACAATTACAGTATTAACAAAGCACCCAACATTCTCTCTTGCTAAAGGATACTCAGCAGACTGGTTTCTGCAGATTCAGAAAAAGAGCTTTGTTGTCTTTCTTCGGGAGGATTATTGAGTACAGCCCATGTGTACCTGGATGCCATGCTATTCTGCATTTTATCCTCTAAAATTATCTCCAAATGCTATGACCTTGGGGCCCACTCTGCACCTCGGAAAGGCTAAAACGTATTTCCCAGGTCTAGCTGTCTTAGAATCATAGAATGTCCTGCAAACCCAAACAGGAAATCACTTCAAAGCAGACAATGATAGTAAGACAGCATTGCAGGTAAAACCATTAGCTCCACAACGATTTACAGTCACTAAACTTTACTGCAGGAACTTCTTTCATTCTCCTACTCAGGTGGATTTTAATCTAGAAGCAAAACCTGAAATCATCATGCTTCACAAACCCCTCACATACCAAGCTGCCTTTGTATCTGTTTTCAGCTATGTGCATCACAGACAATAGAGGTGGCACACCCAAGAGGTTTCTCAAGACTGTTCAAACCACTTTAATCACATATGAAAAAGAGCCAGAAAGCATGTAAGACAAATAAGGCTTCTTAGTCTCCTTAAGCTAACTGTACATGCATTTTATAGTAGATTGCACCAGTGGCCAAGACACGAACATTTCAAGCCGTGCTTTAGGCTCATTTATGACACACAAAGGGGAGGCATTGTGCTGTCACAGTCCTATGGAGCAAGTAAAATAACTACAAGTCAGGAGCAGAGACCATGGCTCTGGAAGAATGGCAGGCCACACAACTGAGGATGAAAAAGTCCATCTTTATGAAAAAGATTGAAAGTCCAGCTGAAACCTCCTTACAAACACTGAACAGTACATGGCACAGAGAACTGCATCAAAGAAAATTCTGCTCATTGATGAAAATACTGAAACTACTCTGAAGTCTGCCATTAGTATGAGATGATCACTGCTGCTGAACTTTTTACCTGATGACACGGAAGGACAGGACTATATGATTCACAAAAGGGCTCTTACCAAAAAAGAGTATGATCTTTCATGCACTTACACTATAAACATGGCAGACAAAGACCCTCCTTCTTCCAGGAGGATGCTCTAATATATGTGCAAAAATACAATTGGAGAGATATAAAATAATCAAACGCAGCATAATTAACAGAGTAACATTCAGACACTTTATTGTGTAAGAAGAAAGGCCAGGAGGTGCTTTAGGACACATTAACAGATGGGCTACAGATCTGTTCGTCTACCATTGTAGACTCATCACATTGCAACACAGCTCATCAAGACAGACCTGAAAGAAGTTTTAAAAGTTTATATTCAGGGAAAGTAGCATGGGACAGGAAGGAGAGGGGTAGAGAAAGAGACCCAGCATCCTCATCACAAAACAAACCAATAAAGGAACCTCTCTTACGACTCAATGTCTATGTGGAGATTATTTTGGTCTACTTATATTGGTTAAGTCACCTGTTAGGTTAGTTCATATGTTAAATGTTTTCTAGTACTAACATGCTTTTTGGAAAGCACACAGAGATAAAGCACTTTTTACTTTCAACGCTCTCTATGACAATGATGTTGGCTCAGCATCCCTGTGAGGTAGGCAAAAATTAGCTGTTTTCTGAGACACAGAGAAGTTAAATGACTTCCTCAAAGCCATGGTGAAGAATGTGCTGTTTTTTATTAATATCCTTAAGAACCTGGAATGATATTGTTTTTCACAGACAGGGAATTGGAGGCAAACAGCATCTGCTAGTAAGGAATTACTTAATTTTCATCTCATTCTTACTATTAAAATGCTTTGAATCCCTCCCACCTTGAAAAGTGTTCCACAAACATATACATGTACTAGTGAGCTCTTCCTTCATCTCTGTAACAAAAAGCACTGGTCCTTTCCAGCAGCAAGCAGACATCCTACACAGGGGGCTTTTCCCTGCTAGTAAAGGGTAGCCCAGATACAACTAGCGTTACATACACTACTCCACCAACGACCATATCCTAGATCTTTCCACCGTTACAATTACAGCTATCAAAGATATGAGCCAAGTATTAGTTACTTTAAGGAATTTAGCTTGAGTACTCTAGTTCATGTAAAAGGAGTAGAAAAAGATAACTATCCATTCTTTTAAACTGATAGCTACACAAAAACAAGCTATCATAAAATAAAGAATGCAGCTGCTACAAAGGGTAGCAACAAAGCCATGCTTGGATTAACCTAATAAATGTACATATCCCCAATTACAAGGTTAACAGATTCACCAGCTCAGTCCATATCCCCAGAAAAGCTTTTGCTTTGCAGAAAAGTGAAGTGGGTCTCAGAGCCAGGCTCTTCATTCTTGTGTAGGTCCACAGAGGAGTAACAGTAGATACTGTGTTGTGTATGTCTGTATTAAAAAGTTTCCAAAACCTTCTAGATGATCTCCCTCCATCCAGCTGAGCTGAACTTTTGCATTTTCTGCTCATGTTTCTAATCCAAACAACTATTTCGCTGTAGAAAGCAGCACACAATAGCTGAAGTCCATGTCCTCTTGTCTTGTGCCTAGTCAGATTAGCAAGATCATTTGCCCAATTTTAGTAAAAGATGAGACCGTGGCTCATAAAATACTCCTGCAAAGAATCCTTCATGTTGACTACAGCTCAGCTGTAAAGCAGGAGACCAACAGCTGGGTAACACTGGATAACATGAAGCCATAAAAACAGTCGTGCAACTATCTATGCCAGGTAATCTTGTATCATCAACTCAGCTTTACTACTGTCAGTACACGCCACTAATACAACACTCAGCACTTTCAGATGAACACCACAAGGGCATAACTTACCTATGACAGATGCAGGATAATACCGTGCTAGTTTATTGCTCATGTTTAAAAGCCCTTCATACAGTGGTCAGCACGCTCCCACTTAGTTCAAAAGCAAGGTTATGCTCCAGCCACCAGCAGCCCTAGTTCAAGACCTATATCAATTCCTCTGAAGCTTTCCACAACTCCTGTAAACAAACTTTTCACCAAAACCCTGCATACAAGAAATGAATACTTTTTCTTCAACACAGAATTCAGTTGCCACTGAGCAGCATGGTATAGATAAAATTCATCTTTGCACTGGAAGTCACACTTTTTCCCAGTTGTGTTTGGCATGTTCTTCACATTGCTACATAATTGCTGAAACAATCAGTTCTCCAAATGACCACATGAATATCAAGTGGCAAGATCTGCAGGAGAAAACAGACCACCACCATAAGGTGGGGGGGGAAATAGATAGTGAACTTCAGAGCTAACTTAACATTTAAATGTGATTCAGTCACACTGACTCTGGACACTATTAGAAAAGATCTTGTTAACAAAAATGTTATGCCTGTAATACTCTGGGCATCTAAATAAACACAGGATGACAATTGAAAAAAAATATTTTTTTTAAACTACGAATTTTTCTTCCACTCCTGTATCCATTAATCCATATCCAGCCAGAGAAATCTGGCACTCTGTCTGTTGACTCCCCCTTAACTCCAAGACTGTCATTTCAGAGAGTAAATTCCAGTAAATGCAAAGATGGAAACCACTTGTTTTTCTATGCATTGAGGGCTTTTCAGTTGCATGATTTGCATTTACAACTTCAGCTTTCACAGCAGAATGTAAATTTACTGGTTTGGGCTTAAAGTTTGTGCAGTGGGCTATTTGTGCTCCAATTTAGCACCAACATCCCACAGAGATACATAACTTGAAATTTGTAGACTATAAGGACCAAGCAGAAGCAACAGTTATTGATTTAGTATCTAGTGCATTTCAGGGGGCTTGGAAATAAAAGCTCAAAATTTGTCTAGGAAAAAAAACCAAACCAACAACACTTAAAACATACAACAGATGAAGATGAACTATGCTCACAAGGGAGTGAAGTAATAGCACCTACATCGTTGTGATGCTAAACATTTGGCAGTGTTTTCTGTTTACCACACAGGAGCCACTGGACTCCTTGACCATGGTAAGGAAAGGAGTCATAAGAGCAATCACTGTGCTTGTGCAGGGAACATAAGAGTTTGTATTTGAGGCTCAATCTGACTTTCACCAAGTTGATGTTTCCTTCTCCTCATGTCGCCTTGCTCCCCTGAAGCAAAGCTGCACAGTCCACCCCTTCCAAACAACTGACAAATCATTTTCTTAAAGTTTGTTGTACAAACTAACCAAGACCAGAAATTATAAAATTCACAGACAACCAACAGTTCAAGATGGTCTCTCCATTCTTCCCACTGTCCATAATGAGTCATCTACCCATATCATCCACTGTTAATTGGCATTAATACTGAATTGTGAGGCCTGACTCTACAGCTCGTTACAGTTTGGGCAGAGCACCGGCTGGTGCTAGCGTAATACCAAAAACATAGAAAAGCCCCAAGAGGAGATTGAGTTTGGCTGTCCGCTGAGGAATTTTGTTGAAGCTCTGACTCCGAAACTGCCTCTCCAGTGAAAATGCCATCGGGATCGTGAGTAGCGGCAATGCCATGCTGATGGTATAGCGTGTGGCCAGCACACAGAAAATCAGGTAGGGCAAGAAGAGCAGCACGGTGTAGAGAACATAGGAGAACGCGGGGCCGATGAGGATAGCCAAGGTGACAATACCCGCCTGCCGGTCAGACTCCATGTCTCGTGTGTTGTTGCTGTGCAGGATGGCCTCAGTACTGAGGGCTAGTGGGATAGCGTAGAGCAGTGGTGAGACAGACAGATAACCAACCTGCACAGCATGGGCAAACATGACAGCCAGGGGCCCAAAGGTGATCAGGATCACCACGTCTCCAAGTGCAACATATTTAAATCCAATTCCTGTGGCAAGACACAAGAATAAAATGAAGGATCATCAAACAACTCAAATGACAGAAGAGAACGGATAATATAACAGATCAGCCCTTCCCACAGAAAACGACAAACGCACATGTAGCTGTGGCCGAGAAGCATATTTTCTCTTTTTTCCAAAGATAATAAAAAAAACACAGCTTCTGAATTTCTCCAGTCAAACAGTGTAAGAGAAACTAAAGGCCAGGTTCTAATACCCATCCTCGCATCTAGAAGTACCTATTTCTGCAGAAATCTATAGAAATGAGGTACTATTTAGTGTGATCATGCATACTAGAACCTGACCCTGAAGAAATATCTAAAATGCTCAGAACAAAACGCAAAACTGACAAGGTTCTTTTAAGGAAACTAACATAACTGATTGTAAGTTTGACAGTTTGAAACTGAATTTGTTTTTCTTTTCCTAATAATTATGTTTGTATCTACCCAACACAGGAAGCCAATAAAAATATCCTCCTCTTATTGAGGATAAACACAAACTGTTCTACATTCACAATGAAACTCCATCTAGAGAATAAAAACAAAACATTCCAAAGCAAAGTAACAGATTCCACCAATGGAAAAGAACATATGCAGTCAGCTATACTGCTGAGGGATATGAGATACACATCATGAAAAGGTTCAGCAACAGTTCTGATGAGCATCTAAAGCCGTATATGCAAATAACAACGTCTCAACACGAGTTTCCAACTGAAAAACTCAGTGTGCCTCTTCCAACACCTTCCCACAACAATCAGTGGCAAAGAATACAAGTTTATGTACCAGTACTCCAGGAAATACCACCAACTATTTTATTGAGGTTAACTAGATAGATCACTTGCGTCTTCTAGAAACCCTTGACAAGTCAGCTAATTCTGTCACATTTGCATTCAGATTCACAGCAAACGGCACATAGCACATACCTCCAGTATAAAGGAAGGAGCTGGACAGTCCTCCAAAGTATATTAGAGCCAGGTGCTCCAGCTTGAGTGTTGAGACAGCGTAGAGCCCAGCAGCACAGATACAGCCCACAGTATAAAGGAAGACTCCAAACCGGACTACATCCTGAGGCTCCAAAATCTGGTCCACCAAAGTCCTGTCATCACTCTTCTTGTGATCGATGCCTTTGGAGAAGTCGTAGTAGGTATTCACCAAGTTGCCGGCTCCGTGCACGGCCAGGACGGTCACGGCGCTTCCCACCAACAGCCCTGGGTCTAGGGCTCCCTCAGCCCGGTACGCCAGAGCGCTGCCGAGGGCCACAGGGGTGAGGGAGGCACTGAAACTCCAAGGTCTGAGCGCCAACACATAGGCCGCACACTTCTGCCTCCAGGTACCGGGGGGCGCCCTCTCCGCGCCCGCCAGCGCGGCGCCGGTGTCGTTCCTCTCGCTCCCCCGGGGGCTCTCGGCGCTAATACTGATCTTCTGCACCAGGTCTGCCGGCCCCATGCTCTCCCCGCCGCCTCGCCTCACAGCAGCACCTAGAAGGGGAAGGGCCGCGCGTTAGCCTGGCCGCCGCCGCGGGGCCCA